AATATGTATTTAAAAAGCAACACCTATAAATTATTAGAGCTGAAGAGACTTTTGATAACATCCAGGCCATATACCTTTTAATGTTCAGGAAATAGAAACACATTGTTTGCTTACATTAATGTACTGAATAAAAAACCCTTAAGTATAGTAGTAAGAATAGGAAATGCTTTTGCGGCTGGGCACGGTAAGTTTGCACGGAGATAGTCACAATAAATGGCTTTCCAGGTACAATATGGTTGTGAAGGTTGTACGTTGTACAAAGGCATTCCTCAAAGGGGTGAGGAATTTGGGATTGGGAATTTGGCCTATAGTCTATTTGCCAAGCTGTGTGCCTTCAGAGCTGTATCTGCAATGAGAAGGTATGCCAGAAGGGGCCATATGGTACGGTTGAGGCCCAGTCTTTATCATGGGATTCTTGACAACTATTCCTGGCCGATAACAGCGTTGCTATTTTGGGCCCCAGCAGCTTGGGCAGCTGAATGAATGCCATTTCTGGGCACCCAGCCACTCTTCTCTCACCTTTTGGTTAGGGTGTGGTGAGTGGTCAATGGCTACAGATGGCAGATGGCCAGTCTTCCCATCTGTCCACTTCCCATCTCAAACCGCACTTTCCTCACTGGATGGAAAGGAAGTTATTGCTGGCAAACTGTTTACACCATCGGGAGTTCTTCCTCTAGGGTTTTAGGCATGAATCTTGTAGAACTCTTACTGTTTTCATTCTCCATTTTACCTTATTGAAGGTGTTCTTTTTTTTTTTTTTTTTTTTTTTTTAGCAATTAAAAAATAGATTTTACTTCAAACCACTGGTTCTTATACCCAGGAACATACATCAGAATTACCTGTGGATGTTTTTAAAAAATATTAAGTCCTGGCTGGGCATGGTGGCTCACACCTGTCATCCTAGCACTCTGGGAGGCTGAGGCAGGAGGATCGCTTGAGGTCAGGAGTTCAGGACTAGCCTGAGCAAGAGTAAGACCCTGTCTCTACTGAAAATAGAAAAAATTATCTGGGTGTGGTGGCACACGCCTGTAGTCCCAGCTACTCGGGAGGCTGAGGCAGGATTGTTTGAGCCCAGGAGTTTGAGGTTGCTATGAGCTAGGCTGATGCCATGGCACTGTAGCCTGGGCAACAGAGCGAGACTCTGTCTCAAAACAACAACAAACGACAACAACAAAAGTCCAGGTCTCACTCTTCAAAAAATTCTTTCATGGGGGTCAGGACCCGAGTATTTCTAAAAAGCTCTCAGGTAGCTTTGATGCTACCTTCTGGTTGAATCATTGACTTTAGGTCCACTGAGGGACTTTGGGTTTTTTGGGCAATTGTTTGGGGGTGTGGGGAGCCTTTCTTGCAGATTTAGTAGAAGTAACAAAAATTTTGGCCTCTGGCTTTTTTGGACTCTGTCTTGGGTCTTTTTTCACCAAGAAAGGGTTTCTTTCTTTCTCCACCTCTTCTCTGATTTTTGGCTTCTTTCCCAGCCCTTTACCTGGGGTCTCCGGCTCTGCAGCGTTTGGGGTTTCTGAAGCTGGCAAGACCTTTCTTTTCTTCCCATGTGGTGTGTTGGGACCAAGACTCTTTTTCGGAGACTTCTTTCCTGTGGCATGTTTTTGAGTCTCTGTGTTTTCTTTAGCTGGAGCTGTTCCTGTTGGTACCAGCTGAGGAATTGCATCTTTGGAATTGTTTGTCACTTTAAGTTGGGGTTTTACTCTTGCGTGTTTTTTCTTCCCATGCTCTGGGGTCTTTTCCTTCTGGGATCATGCAGGTGTCTTCACTGGCACACCGCTTATTTTAGGAGCCACATCATCTTTTGTTAGGACTGATGCAGCCTGTTGCTTTACCTTTCTGTTTCCCTTCTTCCACTTTTGTTTTTCAGGAAGTCTTTCTCTTTGTTTTTCTTTGTAGCTTTTTTCTTCCTACTAAGCACATACTGTTTGGCGGTTTCATCCCAACTGGTGACAAATGAGGGGGAGGGCAACCGATCTCTCAGTTTTCACAAACACGAGTTTCACACTCCTCCGCTTCTCTGGCACTTTTTCTGAAAGCCCTTTTGTGACAGCAACAATGTTTTCAATGATGTGCTTGATCTGCATTGCAGTGTGACTGATGGGTACAGTGCTGCAAGAACCACTTTCAGAGGTGTTTAAGACTGTTCCATCTATAAGATTCACTGATCTCTGTTGACAAATTCCTGGTCAGAAGGTTTATAGATACTAGAACTTTCTTTCTTTGATAAAAACGTCTCCCAATGTGTGAGGTTAAAAGCAGCCTATTTCTGACATCAGTTAGGAAGAAGGCATAGCTTCACTTCATAGACTTTATATTCCTTTTTTAAAGTTTGGAGGGGGATAATATGAGATATGGCTTTAATGCCATTCTTGTTCAAAAGCTTTCTGTAGAAACATTCTGTCCGTTCAGGAGTTTTTTGGGTTCATCCTTGGGAAATAAACAGATTTCTTCTAAATCTGATCGAATACCATGAGGCAACGGCAATCTGACCCTTGGTTCTTTACTTGGAATTTTCCATAATACCACCATTAAAAATAAATTGTCATTCTCATTCAAAAGAAATCCGTTATTGTTTTTCCTGGACTTGGAATATGCCAAGAGAGCATCCACTGCCTTTCTAATTATGTGCCAGGCCTCTGGTCAAAGCGCTTTACATGCATTACCTCTTCTGATCCTGCCCTTTGCCCAGCTGCTCCTCTGCGGTTGGGGCCTCTGGAATCAAGGGGGAGGCTGCAGTCTCCATTGACTTGGCCACGGAGTAGAGGCTGAGTCCTCCATTTCCCTTTCACCTTGTGGGGATCCATGTGCGGAACCTCCAAAGCTGGTGTTTTGATGGCCTCTGTGTCAGTCATCCTGACACCTCCTGATGTTACCTTAGCTCTCCTTTACTCTGGTTCCTTCCTTGTCCTTTGGTCTAACTCAGATCAACAACTCTGGACCCTTGGAGCTCCCTTTGACCTCCCCCAGAGTATTGGCCAGGGATGGTTGTAGGTTGGGCAGCAGCCTTGCTCTTTGTGCAGGACGGAACCCTCAGTGCAGTTCCACAGAAGGCACTCTCATGATTTGAGTTGTTTCTTCATGAAAACTCAAAAGCAAGGTCTAGAAGTTTTAGTCTCTTTCCAGAGAATGCTGTGGCTTTGATTTTGTTTGCAGGTCTCTTGGCCTTTGCAGTTTCCTCCCACCTTCCCTAGTTACCACGTAATTCTTGAGTGGCTAACTGGGAGACCTCTGTCAGGGTGTTTCCCATTCTTTTTCATCCCCATTATGTTATAAATTTCTAAATGTATTGAAGTGCTTCTGGACAGAGGTGAAGAAGAGTCTTACTCTCTCATAAAAGATTGTGTGTATGCATGGATGGAGAAGGAATGAAGGGGTGTGTGGGGAAAGACTGGTGTGAACTGGAACTAAAATCTAGTTTACTACTACATACCAACTCACTGCAGGATTCTGACACACTCATTTGGAAACTCATTAGTCTAGTCTCTAAGTCCAGACCTCCTAGCATTGGTTCTTCAGCCTTGGGCAAATCAGCTAACTTTTAGAGCCTCAATTTTATCATCTTTAAGACAGAGATAATATTGTCTGGGTTGTTGTGAAGATCACACTGAGGAAGTACTAGGCAAAAATAAAGTGCTGATATTACTATATTTCATTGACTCTAAGATGCTAATGATTGTAAGATGCACCATTATTTTAAATACCACTGAGGAAGAAAAAATGCTGTCTATTAAATGAAGACACATTATTTTATTATCACTTAGAATATTTATACATATTGAGAGAGATTTTTGGGTGGCTTGTTTAGATGTTGATGACTTTTATAATAAATCATTCTTATGCATACATAAAAAGAAAGATACAGAAATTAAGGTATTCTGAATTTCCTTACTGCTAAATAACCTGTCAATGCATTTATTGTTATCTGTGTTTTTTCCACACTATGTTACCTATGTGTCATGGATGATGCAGCATTTCTTAAAAGAGTTGTTCATCTTGTCTTTGGGATGTTCTTCCAATCCTCTAACACCAATTCTGCATGGCTGATTTACATGAACAAATAATGACATCTATCTCCTGCCTGGAACTTGGCCAGCTGCAATTGTAAGACATCTTGATATCAGAGATGGCAAAGTGTGAAAATATTTATGTGTTTGAACTGATGAAATATAGTTGTATGATTTATTCCATCATTATTTCATAGGTTTGAAGTTTGAGAGACTGAATACAAAAACAGACAATGGCCAGATCATATTAATATGTAAAAACAGAATTTTGACTGACCACAACCTGCAATAATCTGCCCAGAAAACCAGCCCCTTATCAACAATAAACAGCCCAGGAAGGCAACCTGCTATAAGTTTGACTTGCAGGAAGCTAGGTTGCATTCTCTAATAACAATCCTGGAAGCTAAACATTAACTTCCGTGATAATTGGCTGCAAATGATCAGGACTTGATTAATAGCTGATAGCTTCGCTAATTTTTGTACCCTTTTCCAACTTAGGACCAACCAGAGAAAGCCAAGCATGCTGCCCTAACCAATCACATAGGATGCCCCACTCCTTGTTAGCCCTTACAGCTTCTCCACATCAATAGCCTCCAATCAGGGCACACCTGAAGCCTTCCCTTTTTCCCACTATAAAGCTTTCTTTCCCACTCCTCTGCCTGCTTGTGAATTCCTGTGAAAACACAAGTGATGATGCTATCTGCTATTACAAGCTCTGAATAAATAGCCTTTGCTTTTCTCATCTGGTTGGTCTTCATTTATTTTCACAGCTTGTAAGAGAAGCAATAATGAAACTCTTTGCCTCTTCTTAGGAACTGTACTTGCTATGTGAACAAACTCCCCTGGGTGGATGGTTGCCTGGGATATGGCCCTGTGATGTGAACAGGGCAGGCTTCCCACTGACATGAATGAATGATAGAAATAATTTTGGAAGTTTCCACGTTTACCTGTTCTTTTCTTCCTTCCTGTCTCTTTTCTGTTTTTCCTTTGAAGTGTTTGAGGCCAAATCTGGCTCCTAAAAAAACATCAAAGGAAGCTTGCACCAAACACCCTTGAGGGCTGCCTCTGAAGCCTGCCATCACCTGCTGTGTGACACAGAATGGCACCCCCTGCTTGTGTGCTCTCCTCACTGCTACTGCTGGTGACCATTGCAGGTAGGGAACCACATGCCAGTGCCAGGCTTGAGTGTCTCAAGCAGCTCCGATCAACCTGAGGCGAAAGGGCTGTGTGTCTGCTTTTCAATAGTTATTTTACATATAAAAGGCATTAAAGGCAGACCTCAAGCATGAGTGGTTTTTTGGAAACAGGAATTTTAAATTTTAATTTAAATTTTTTATTATCATGACTATTTGGTGGAAAAATAAAATCATATTTCATATATACTAAGAAAAATTTATATTTCTATATTTAAAAGAATTGCGTAGTAGATCTTTCTGGAAAGATCAGGCTCTCTTTTATCATAAATCTTTATTTTCATTATATTCAGTTTGCTTATATATACACACCCATGGCATAAAATCATTGGTCAACATCATTGGTGATCCATGACAAGGCTGGGCTGGCCAGGCCCATGTGAGTGTGTCAGGTCAGGATTGAGGGTAGAGATATGGCTGGAGAAACTGATTTTTTTTTGTTTTTTTTTAAGAGACAGAGTCTTGCTTTTTCTCCCAGGCTGGAGTACAGTGGCACGATCATGGCTTACTGCAACCTCAAACTCCTGAGCTCAAGCAATTCTCCCACCTCAGCCTCCGAGTAGCTGAAACTACAAATGACCACCACCATGCTCAGCTAATTTTTCTATTTTTTGTAGAGAGGGGGTCTCACTCGCTGTGTTGCCCTGGCTGGTCTCCAACTCGTGACCTCGAGTGGTCCTCCTGCCTCAGTCTCCCAGAGTGTTGGGATTTACAGGCCTGAGCCACTGTGCCCAGCCCCCTTTTTGCCCTTTTCTTATGACATGTTCTCCATTAATTCAAAAATATTATATCAATTCCTGCTGGATACGGACCCTGTCTTTGCAAAAAAGATTAAAAATTAACCAGGCGAATGCACTGCCTTGGAGCTCCTGTCTAGTCTAGTCTTCACATGGTGCCCGGGATCAGGCTGCAGGACCAGATGCCAGAGGACTGGCTTGCGTGTAACTGGGGCCACCCCCAACCCCCTCCCTGTGGCCCTTCTAACTGCCAGTGACACTGGCAAAGAAAAAAAAATTAACCAGCTGTGGTGCTGGGCGCCTGTAGTCCTAGCTACTTGAGTAGCTGAGGCAGGGGGATCACTTGAGCCAGGAGTTCTAGGTTGCAGTAAACTATGATTGTACCACTGTACTTGAGCCTGGGCAACAGAGTGAGACCCTGTCTCAAAAAAAAAAAAAAAAAAAATCAATTCCTGAGTTACTGAGTCCCAATAATGTTATTTGCAGTTTGCTTGTCTTCCTTCTCTATCTTCTTTACCTTTGTTAAATGTTAACCAATGATTTTATTGATTTGTCAACAATGATCAAGTGCCTACTGTGTTCACAGACTGGGCTAAGATAGGCAAATATGGGTGACAGGTTCCCTGATCTCCAGGAGTTTGGTAGTTTTTCACGAGCTTTCTAGAATGTGTTTAATAGATTCTGAAGTAATTATGGCAACTTGGCCCAAAGGAAGAATGATTTAGTTGTTGGGAGCTCCACCTTATCACATTTCTTTATTCAGCATTATGATCTTTACTTAAGGTATGTATATCTAAACAGCCCCTATTCAGGTGATTTTCTTGCAGAATGAAGGGACAATACGTCCTAGAGGTGTGCTAAGGTCTCTGCCTCTAGCCAGACTGAAAACTGTGCTAAGCTTTGTGTTGAAGACTTCTGCCATAGAAGGGCCTCCTTACCTCCTCGTAACAATTTGCTTGCTCTAGGATCACAGACTTTTCCCTGTGCAATGGTTCCTATGACACAGTCTAAAAGTTGGCTCTTGAACTTTCTGGTGACCAAAGCCAGATATGAAATATGATATTTCTCTGAATCACATTGTCCAAAAGGAGATAAGCTAAGTGTTTCTCAAGGGAACTAAAGTATATCCTGGAATTTAGGTTTGAAAGAAATTTCTAGCTTAGGTCCTCATGTAAACATTACTCAGAGATGTAGTGGTATCTCTAAAAATGAGCAGAATATTTTTCAGAGTAGTTAGAAATTGGAGATTACCTTTCTCTCTATTCTACATTCTTCATCATGATAAAAGATATTATTTTATTATGTTCAGCTGGAGTGTATTATTATTTTTTTCTGTATCTGAGATTAAGCTTTTCCCTTGAAAAAGATAAGCTTTTCTCTAGGAGAAAAAGCTAAAACCATTCAGATGGTTTTTTAAAAAACAGGTTTGCAGTGGAGAAAATGCCATTTCAATTTAGTTAAAGTAGTTTGTTGCTAACTTATTCATTGGGAAAGATGCATGTCTATTATATCTAATTCCTATTAAATTGGACTAACTAGTTTTTCCTACAGAGGCATTGTCTGGTGTTGAGTGATCTATAGCAATGATAGTGTATACAGGTAAACATAAAGAGGATTCCTATACTGTGTATAGCCATTTTCATTTATTTCTAGTTAAAAGAAATCTCTGACAATCCCTTATATTAAAAATAGCAATTATTTAAAAAATTATCAGTAATGAGCTCTCACTAGGAAAGAAATCTCTTCGCATTCTGAGTTCTGCAGCAGAACTTTAATACTGTGCTTCTCAAACTACATGTGGTGAAGGACCAGCTTTTTTTGTGTGTCCATTCCATCACAGACTGATTCTTTTGTAAAATACCAAAAAAAACCCCTAAGAATACAAGAAAAGTAATTTTGCACTTGGATTTTAAGTAATGAAAAATTGCTATAGAAGTTTCTGACAGCATCTGTTTCTGTTATTTTGTCATGGATGGTAACAGAGTTCATGGACCTGCACTATAGCCGACCACACTTTGCATAGCACCACTACCTCCTGTAGTAACTGATTGCAAACACTTATAGCTCGTTCTTTAGAATCTGATTAAAACTACTTGGTTATAGACATGTACTGAGGACAAGTTTTTCTCTCCTTTGATATTTCCCTGTCAATGGAGCTATAATCAAAAAAACTTGTGAAAATTAAAAAAAAAATTAGCTAACAACAACAACGACAGTAAAACAAAGGTGTGATGTTTTGTAAAGTAAACCTGTATAACTGAATTTTATGTGAGGAGCAAAGTATTATAAATAATATAAAAACAGTACACATATAGAGAAGACTTTCTGTTAACCAAGTGGAGTGAAATTATATGAAGAGAGAATGGATGGATGGAAGGGTGCATAGATAGGTGGAAGAATCTATGGGTAGATGGTAGTGGATGGATGGGTGGAAGGATAGAAGGATGGATGATAGGTGGGTGAGTGAAAGGATGGATGGATGGACCAGTGGAAAGAAGGAAGGATAGAAAGATGGATGGATAGGTGGGTGGATGGATGGGTAAGTGGATGGATGGGTGGAATATGGATGAGTAGGTGGAAGAGTAGAAGGATAAATGTATGGATGGGTGGTTTGATGGATTGACCGTAAGGTAATGCAGTCATCTTTCTATAGGAAATGCTGATTGTTTGTTTGCTTGCCAGACAGTCCAGGGATTGATAAGGCTCTCATTTTCTGGTTTCTTAAGCTAGAGTTGCTTCCCTGTGGTATGACTCTCTCCCTCATTAGAGACTGCCTTGTTTATAGGTTGTGCCTGTAAGCAGTGCAGTGAAGGGAGGGCGTATTCCAACGCAGTCATTTTACCTAACTTGGAAACGACCAGAATCATGCGGGTGCCTCACACCTTCTCCATGGCGGACTGCACTACCACCTGCTGTGACCTGTCCAGCTGTGACCTGGCCTGGTGGTTTGAGGGCCGCTGCTACCTGGTGAGCTGCCCACACAAAGAGAACTGTGAGCCCAAGAAGATGGGCCCCATCAGGTCTTATCTCACTTTTGTCCTCAGGCCTGTCCAGAGGCCTGCACAGCTGCTAGACTATGGGGAGATGATGCTGAACAGGGGTTCCCCCTCAGGGGCCTGGGGCGACTCACCTGAGGATATTAGAAAGGACTTGCCCTTTCTAGGCAAAGAGCGGGGCCTAGAGGAGATGTCTGAGTACTCCGATGACTACAGGGAGCCGGAGCAGGACCTCTTCCGTCCCAGGAGCAAGCAGGAGCCCAGAGGGAGCGCTGAGTACACCGACTGGGGTCTGCTGCCTGGCAGTGAGGGAGGCTTCAACTCCTCTGCTGGAGACAGCTCTGCAGTGCCAGTGGACCCGCAGCAGGACCCGGAACTCCATAAACTGAATGAGTCGGCTTGGAGCCCTGCCCCAGAACACTCTCCTGAGAGAAGCCCGTTGCTTCCCTTAGTGACTACTCCATCTTCAGGAGAGGTACTGGGGAAAGAAGAGGCTTTTCAGCTCCAGGGACAATCCAGCAACAGCTCTGGAAAAGAGGTGGGTGTGTTCAGGGTGTGCTTGGGGGTGGGAGGGGCTGAGGTGAGCAGACCCCAGGAGGGGCTGAGTGTAGGGAGCCCCCTCTCCCCTCAGGCTGTGTGAGCATAAGTAGGTTCCTGTCTCAGGTGGCAGCAAGAAAGGTGACTGTCTCTCAGAGATTTCTAGTAAGCAAAACATCTTACTCCTCTGCTGTGCCTTCATGACCAGGCTATTAGAAAGAACAAATAGGGCCTGGCGCAGTGGCTCACGCCTGTAATCCTAGCACTCTGCATGGCCGAGGACTTTAAGCCCAGGAGATTGAGGTTGCAGTGAGCTATGATCACACCACTGCACTTTACCTGGGATGGAAGAGTGAGACTCTGTCTCAAAAAAAAAAAACAAACCAGAAAAAAAAGAACAAAGTTCTGCCTTCACAAGTCAGCCAACTCATGATGATTTAGCAGTTTTTCCTAAAGATGCCTCTACCAGTATTTAAGGTGAATAAAGATTTTATAAACATCCCTCGAGCCAGCACATATACCCAGAGGCTTTGAAAATCTGCCATAGTATGTTTCTTCAAGGCCCAACAGGTACTTAAGTTGCTAGAAACTCGACTGTGACTTGATGAATCAGGAGAGATATACTAAGGAGAGAACGTAAGTTTTACAAAAAACTCAGGTGAAAAAAGAATGGGAATCATTGGGAGAGCAGACATACCAAAAGTAGGGAAAAGGTCTCAGTATTAATGGCAGAAGATCAGGGAGATAAAGAGAGAGAAAACTGTGTCATGAGAAGAGTATAGTTGGAGAGCTTAGAGCTACTTGTTTGGGAAATGGTCAGGACTTGATGGGAATGTGTTGTGCATGTTGATCAGAGAGGAAACTGAATACAGTTGGAAATGAAATGACAAAAAGACATGGGAGTCCTTTAAGAATTATTTAAAGGAAAATAGTATTTAAGTTTTCTGTGCTTAGGTTAGAATAAATGAAGAATGCTGGATTCAATTGACTATACATTATAATCTCACCAGGAAAAACTGCAAAAAAAAATGTCTAGAAGTCATTTTTATTTTAAAATTTTTTTCAATTAATTTTTTATTTTTAATTATTATACACAATAGTATATTTATAGGGTACATGTAATGTTTTGATGCAGGCATACAATGTGTAATAATCAAATCCAGGTAATTGGGGTATCCATCACCTCAAGCATTTATCATTTCTTTGTGTTAGGAATATTCCAATTCCACTCTTTTAGTTGTTTTAAAGTATACCATAATTTATTGTTGACTATAGTTACTTTGTTGTAATATCAAATATTCATTCTATCTCACTATATTTTTACACCTATTAACTGTTCCCACTTTATCCCCTCTGCCCCCCCCCCGCTACTCTTCCCAGAGTCTAGTAACCATCATTCTACTCTCTGTCTCCATGAGATCAATTGTTTTAATATGTAGCTCCCACGTATGAGTGAGAACATGAAGTTTGTCTTTCTGTGCTTAGCTTAACATAATGTTTTCCAGTTCCATCCATGTTGTTGCAAGCGACATTATTTTATTCTTTTTATGGCTGAATAATATTCTATTGTGTATAGATACCACATTTTCTTTATCCATTCATCCATTGATAGGTACTTAGGTTAATTCCGTAACTTGGCTGCTGCGAATAGTGCCGCAATAAACATGAGAGTGCAGATATCTTTTTGATATACCAATTTCCTTTCTTTTGGATACATACCTAGCAGTGGGATTGCTGGGTCATATGGTAGTTCTATTTTTAGTTTTCTGAAAAACCTCCACACTGTTATCCGTAGCGATTGTACTAATTTAAATTCCTATCAACAGTGTATGAGGGTTCCCCTTTCTCCATACCCTTGCCAGCATTTGTTATTACCTGTCTTTTTTATATAAGCCACTTTAGCTGGGATGAGAGAATATCTCATTGTTGTTTTGATTTTTATTTCTCTAATGAGTAATGATGCTGAGCATTTTTCATATAACTGTTGGCCATCTGTATGTCTTTTGAGAAATGTCTCTTCAAATCTTTTGCCCATTTTTTAATTGGATTATTTGATTTTCTCCTATTGAGTTGTCTGAGCTCCTTATATATTCTAGTTATTAATCCCTTGTTAGATGAGTAGTTTGCAAATATTTTCTCTCATTTTGTGGGTTATCTCTTTACTTTGTTGGTTCTTTCCTTTGCTGTGCAGAGCTTTTTAACTTAATATAATCTCATTTGTCTAATTTTACTTTGGTTGCCTGTGCTTTTGAAGTATCACTCAAGAAATCATTGCCCAGACCAATGTTTTGGAATGTTTCCCCAGTGTTTTCTTTTAGTAGTTTCATAGTTTCGGGTCTTAGATTTAAGTCTTTAATCTATTTTGATTTGATTTTCTATATGGCAAGAGATAAAGGTCTAGTTACATTCTTCTGCTATGGATATTAGAAGTCATTTTTTAATGGTGAGATTATCAGAAAGTTTTTTTCTGCTTTCTTATATTTTTCTGTACTT